TTTTTTAAGCCAGACAGCGGAGTTGTTTGTCACAAGGTTTGGAACGGGAAAGCACACTCGTGTAATGGATTGTTGCAACCGTGGTTCCAGTTTTAAAAACGGGCGCAAGACCCTCATCTTGAATTGATCGCCAACAACTTCAGCCTCAAAAACCGCTTAGATGTTATACAGTTGTTATATCTGCGCTTCGTACGTTGGTGATTTGGGGAGCTAGAGTAGATAGCGACGCATTGGAGGCGGTTGCTGATGTAGTTAGTGCGTCAGTATAAGAGAACTTTAAATGAGGAGATAGGAAGTTAAGCTACGCATTGGGGGCCACAGCTTGGATGCATACGCCTCTCAGTGCGCGCTACTGGACCATGTCTGATGATGTCTGTATTGATGTGTTCCGTCTCAGGGTCCAGAACCAGGAATGCGACAAAGCTAGTTTTTCGGGTTTGGTTTGCTACTAATGGCCTTCATACTCTGCTACCAGTTCAATGCTTGACCTCTGGTCTATACCCACCTTCCGCGTGATTATGCGAAGAATACTTTTCGAGGAAGTCGGTCAACTGACATATGGAGCACGTGACGAAGCCGTCGCAACCCACAGAGCCTGATCAATCCACCTATTGTGAGTGATTTATTTCTCCCGAAAACCTCTCAGCATTACTGATGCAGTGTTCCCATCAGACTTTGAGGACTGTGATGGTTAAACTGAAAGTTTTCTAGCGTCCTCAGCGCTTTCTGACAAGATGGAGCGCACCGCAGCACTTTAAACTCGACCCTTGATGGATAGGCTGATGTCACGCCTACGTCACAGGTGATGCAGTTTCGCGAAAGCTGCTCTGGGTTTCCTAATGCGGGTGGAAACATCTTTGGCTAGACTACTGAGACTGATGCAGCTGCCCAGGTAGAAAAATTTGCCTACTACCCAAATCAGCTTATCCGCAAGCACGAGGTTAGGGTTCGAGCCCACTTAGTATTACAGCAACACTCCACACTTTGCGGGTGTGAAGCTCACGCTAAACAGTGAGACAACTATTTAGATCATTTAACATTCATTGCCAGATCCAAGAGGAGTTGTGTCTTCTGGGTACTTGCTATTTATGAGCGAATGCCATGGGGGTATGTCAACTCTACAAGCGTCGGAGACTGGGAGTGAGCTCTCCATGATCATATTACCGTTGAATTTGAAGAGGAAGGGTGAGGGTAGACAGCGTTGCCTGAAGCCACTTGGTGTACTGAACTCAGGTCAGAGCTTATCACAGACCTCCACAAGTTTACGGAAGTTGGCGTGTATTGTCTTAGGGGGCGTCGGGCATTTATTTCGGGCACCTTTGCTTTATAGACACTGCGATAGTGCCTGACGTTTCACAGAGTCAGAGGCAGGCTCCACGTCAAGGAAGATCAACACTGTAATTTGCTGGAAGCAGTATCGTCGTTCCAGAATCCGACGGGGGTTGAGAATATGGTCGATGCATCCTTTTGCTGGAAAAGTCGGGTTTGGCTTTCACGGATCAGGCTCTCCATGTGTTCAGTTAACCTTTGAAGGACAAGACCATTATCACCTTCGATGCTACCGCTCCCAGGCTAATGCCGCGGTGATTTTTACTCAATTTTTGCTTACCCTATTTGAGTGAAGGAAGAACCGTAATGTTCTGCATTCTGCAGGCTTTTAATCTTCACTCCATATAGCGCCGGTAAGATTTTCCAGATGCGTAATCAGGAATCCTCCCCGTTTGGATATAGACCTTTCGATCCTGGTGTCTCCACGTTTTAGGAGGGCTATCGTACCTTATTTCTTTTGACGATTGACTGAGATGTAGATTTCATTTTTCCATATGCGCTGTCTCCAGGGGTGTGTTGCAGGAGGCCAGCTAAACGGTTCTTTTAAGTGTCCGGCGAATGAATCTATGGGCCGCCTTCACTTATCGTTTCACCGACCGTTGCTTCTAGGTAATGAGGTCCAGGTTTCTATAATTTTCTAACAACCTCCTACCCTCTTTGTCGTTAGACCGGTGGCTCAGGATGTCTCAGTGGTTAGAGCGCGAATTTACTGATTGGAAGGTCCTTGGTTGAAACCCAACCCTTGCATCTCGACTTTTCCTGTCTAAGTTTGGGCAGCTTGGCAGTATTCTGCCCTCGTGTTTCTTTCGAGTGGCTTGGCAGCTAGGCACCGAAGGGGTGTTACAGCTGAACGACTTTCCTATGACCAATCAATCGTAATAATTGGTATAGGGTACTAACGTTTTCAGGTGCAAGAGCCTTCGCCTGTTGAGCCTTCGATGTCCACCAAAGCCCTCGGTCTTTCTTTGTGATCCTCACTGTTTGGCGTTAGAGGGATTTGATTGGACTCGTTGACCGCTTGTATGGGTCTTCTGGCGTTAATCAGGACTAGCGATCCATATATTTTGTAGTCATTTGGTCGGATGGGAGAAGTCGGACAGATAGCAGTGAGCGCCGCTACCATAGCTCCTTTCACGTTTCGCCGTGCTTCATCCCCGTGCCTGCAGCCAGTACAGTGTTGATTCACTATAGAGTAGATCACCTAGCTCGGGTCGATACTGCTGAGCTATGACAGTTCTCCGAAAATGGTTGATTTGTATGCGAAGGCTGTCAGGCGTGCTCGCAATGTGGCGTGATGGCAATCAAACTGCGTACTCCCAGGAGGAAGAGTAATATTGAATTGTGGCTCTCCACCGCTGGCTGATAGACACATTGTCTGGCTGAGTCCATGGTTGGCTTACGCTTGGTACCCGCCAGATTACACAATGCGAACGTTTATTTTTAAAATTCATACCAACTAGAAACAGTTAGCGATCACCACATAGCCTCAGGAGTTGTCATTCGTTGTCTGTGTGATGAGCATCGGCTCCGAATCGACCGCCCAGATATGATTCCAAGAAGCCTAGTTGACCAACTCGGGCATCCGCATCGCCCGAAAGGATCAAAATGTCACTGCTTCTCGCCTGACAAATAAGCCCGGGTAACTTCTTGGGAAGTATGCTTCTCAGGGTCAGAACTTCGATTTCTTGGGGCGTTCGCCGATACTACAATAATAAATAATAGTAGTCCAGTTGTAGCGCTATCTCGACACCTAACTGCCATGCCACCAGGAGGCACGAGGCTGAGATGCTGCCAGGTTGCCCAAGTCTAGACAGGAACAGTTGATATGCTGAGGTTGGGTTCGAGCCCCAGACCTTCCGGTCCGTAGTAAGAAAATCGTCCAGCAGCAGCACCCTTTCGGTGCTTAACTGCCACTCCACCAGAAGGAAGCACGAGGGCTGGGATACTGCTAGGCTGCCCAATCCTAGACAGGGGAAGTCGAGAGGCAGAGGTCGGGTTCGAACCACGGATCTTCCGGTCAGTAAATTCTCGCTCTAACCAATGAGCCATCTCGAGCTCCGATACCACAAACGGCCCGCGTTCCTTCTGTCGAGTAACTGAGTTTGCTTGAGCTGGATAACCGAACGGTGTAAATAATACTGTCCACTGCACTCCACTCCAGCGAGGTAGATTCAGCTCTGAGGCAGGGTGCAACTCACACACCATATATTCCATGAGTCATCGCTTCTGGATCACCGGACACACGGGCAGTGGAATGTAAAAGAGCTGAGTTCGTCGATGGAGTTTTAAGGTGCACGACCACGCCTGCGTGTTTCAGAGATGAAGTATGCATTAATTTTAAGGGAGTGTAAGGCCTCGCCAGGTGGTGATTATTCAATGTAGAGTACAAACGTTGAGAGCTCCCGTGCAGAAGGAGTGGATTCAGCAGTGTTGTTTATTTGTCGTTACTGTGCAGCGGAGTGCATAAAGCACATCGGTTAGTGGAGTGACAACCGATTGACCCAGTGACGTTTGCATAGTGGAAAGGGGTTGGGGAAGGGTACCAGTGGGCAAAGTTGTGCTGTACCTCCATGCTTCCCAGGCCGAAGAAGGCGGTTTAGGTGACTCAAAAGTCTAACCCACAAGGTAGTGGGAGGATGTAGGATTTTTGTTCAGGCATCTTGCCCATAGCCTCTAACTCAGAAGTCTGACCCGTCAGACGGCGGGCAGCAAGGTTTTATTTGTGGACTCAGTAATGACTCAGTAGTCTGAGCTGCTCAGCTGCTGAGGTATGGCCCAGTCTGAAGACAGAAAGCCAGGTACTACTCTCTGACGTCTATTGCAGTTGCGCACAGCAAGTGCCTTTTGAGCAGCGCCAAACTCCTTGGCTGTAAAAGTATTTTGACCGTACTTAATAATGCACTTGCGGTCACGACCAATCGTTGGGTTATCGAAGTTTGAGTTTCGGACCCTTTGTATTTTTACCCGTCGTTTCTCTGGAGAAGTTAACATCGCCACCTCCTTGAATTCGGACATGCTTTTCACCTGGGGAGACATCTTAATACCCTGACACTCCCATCGCAGAGGGCGGTATGACTATACCTCGTAATGAGATTACTCATGATACAAGAATGTCGCTTGTCTTTGTCTAACTGCTCCCTTTAGGTTTGGCATGATTGCACCCTGTGGAGCGGAGTTTCACCCAGCGTAGCCCGCGGAACCATTGGAACACTCAATCTCGACCACTACGTCAAGTTGGCAACCTTAATTCTGGAACAAGCGTAACGCGTGACCAGCTGAGTTGTCGAGGGAGAAGGAATATTCCCGAAAATCATTCGGCATACCTATTTGCTCTGCTTGTTAATGAGCATCTTACTTCTACATCTGAGCAGGTGCCACCGTTCTGTCTATGGGAGCTTTGTTTTCGATATTCCGAGATGCTGGGTTCTATTGACGATCCTCCCTTCAAGCAGCAACAAATTCGTAACATGAGTTGGAGATTTCCTCCTTGTCCGACTCGTCCGTGTCCTTTATGCATATCGGGGGTCTCTTGGCATCAAGCACCGCCTATAATTTCGCTAGTGGTATGCTATTTTTACTACTCCATTGGGATGGAGCATTTCCTCATCTAACGGGGTGGAACGTGATATGTTCCCGAATACTAATATTCGCTTACTTTCTCGTTTCAGCTACTTTGCTGACAGACTGCGGTTGCTTGCTAGTAATCACAAATTTACTTTAACCAGCTGGTAAATATTGTGCTGGGCTGTTTATATATGGTTTGATTTTTTCCGAAAATTCCACTGCGATTTGATCTGGCTCCTGGCCAACAATGGGGGCGAGTGCTAGTCGGGGCTGGGACAACGAATCGTTGATTGATAAGCTGTTGGACGGTGGCTTGTCCTTATCTCCAGATTTGGAACGAGCCATGCGGCTGGTGGATCGAGGCGACTACTTTGAAGAGAAAAGTTCCAGAGCTTATATGGACCTCGCTTGGCGTTCCGGATCACTACATCTGTCCGCACCAAGCATATACATTTCTGCACTGAACAACCTGGATCTTGCTCCGGGGCAACATTTTCTCAATATCGGTAGCGGTTCATGCTATTTGAGCACAATTGTCGGTCTGATCTTAGGTAGGTCCCCAGAATGTCTACTTATTCGTCTCTTGTTGCCTGTAATCGCGAACAGTAGACAGTCACAAAGAATATTAACAGCAACACCAGTGATGAGCACTGGCGCTTCATTGTTTTAATAAAACAAAAGCTCCGTGGCGGAAAGAGCGAAACGAGGCGCTGGTATCAGTTTATCACGCAAAATAACCGCTTGAGCAACTCTACAAATTTTCAACACTACACTTGAGGGTATACGCTTTCTGTATCTCGAGTTGTCGGCCCACACTCAGAAATGCTCGATATTCTCTACTAGTAAACGGGCTTATCGAAGTTGACGTTTCTTGGACCACTTGATACTGGGTCATAAGTTTGTGCGGACTTTTTATACCGCTGAGTGTTCTTCTGAGGTCCAATGCTCACTTTTCTGCCAAAATAAGTGTTTTGGAATGCTTGATACTGCTAATTGCCTTTGTAAATGGAATAAGTATACATTATTATGTCTTCAGGCTCATGTGCGTGTATAATTCCTATAGCTTCAAACTCGATAGAATTATCGGTATTCGATACACTGTCGGTACTATTTCGCATGATATATAGTGTGAGGTTGCCTCAAGATTTCATTGCGAGAACATTTAAAGAAATCCCTGTGGGTTTTTGGGTTTGGTAGCATTAAAAGGTCGCACAAAATTCACAGAAAGATCACCACCGGCGTTGTCCTGTTTGAGGCACCTGGGGCCGGCATAGTCTCCGGAAGCTGTACCAATCAATTTCTAACCTGAACCTTAACTTCGTCGTCGCTGAGTTTTAGGCTCGATCTAGTCAGTACGGTACAAAATATATACCAGTATTGTGTAGAGTGTGGTGGACTGTGCCAAATCTTCAATTAGTCAATAAAAAGCCGTTTTCGACTGATTTGTTCAGGTCGAGGATGAATTACTATAGCTTATAGAAACTAAACCTTCCCATGGACCTCAAACGGTGAAATGTGTGCAGTCTGTCCCTGGATTTTATACAACCTTCAGATACTACTCTAATCCAAGAACTATTTTGCGTATTCCAGTGGACCACGCGCTCTCAGAAGTCTAAAGTAATGAAATCCTGACATCTTTCCAACTGATTAGACCACCATGGGCTTGAGATGACTCACCCCCAGACGAGGTTACTTGACTTAGGTGCTCGGATGGTTGCGCCCCACAGGTTTCCTCCCTTTCTCGTATATTTTGGCTCAAAAGTACACCGTTAACCCATTGCAAAACCCTAGATGATCCGTTGAGGACTTTTTGTATGTGGAGTCAGGAAATCTCACCTTTTCGGTGACCTATGCCTGAGAACTCTCTACCACGGCAATTTTTGTTTTTCTACTGTATTAGTGCTAAACAAATCGCCACATGCGCAGTCGATCAAGTACTCCGACAACGGGAGCTGTAAAACGTAAAAAATACCCAACAGAGCATAAATCCGGTTCTGCTTTATTAATCACAGACTGTTGTGTACTGCAAACGGTGGTTCAACTTCTATGTCGGTCCTTGGCTTACCGCTCCGCCCTCTATTATATATAAAAAGACCACCTTGAGAGGGTCCTTTATGGAGGCGAGAAAAGCTTACTATCACCATACGGATCTGGTCATCACAAAATGATCCGAAAGGTCGCGCTACAGTCTTCATGAAAGGGTTAGAAGTGCCGGTGTGATGTTCGCCCTGATTGGCTGGCATGCTTTCGTTCAGTCCGTAGCCCGCACGTGACATATCTGTTCAATTGAAGTGGTGTTCGGCCTCTAGACACTCTCCCTGTTTCTCCTTCGATCCTCCTTGCCCATTTTTACAGGTTATAAAGGGATAAATCATGGGATCGAACTAAACGAGAATAACGTCGCATTTTCCAAGCAACGTTTGACGACCTTCTTGGCATCTTCAGACGCTCCTTGTGAGCGGGACTTTTGTGTTCCACACTTCCTGCATGGGAACATTTTCAACTTGGTTGTTCCGCCATCGGTAAGGAACGGTTCGAATAATCGGACTGCAGCGCCACAAGATAGTGGTGAGGATTCAGATAGTGACGCTCCTGAGGATGAAGATATGCACCTGTCAGTGAACGAGGATCCGGACGCAGTACAGAACATGGAAGTGAATCCGAACGAAACAGCTCCTGTGGGTTCTCAGGTTGGTGAACGGCAAGCATCTGAGACGGATGGTCATGGGACCCGACCTTCTGGACGCTTAAGGACCGCTGTGCTCAAAATTGATCCACCTCCAGTTGTTTCATTGGCTAAAGCAGACTGTGAGTAGCTACTTTTCGCTTCGTGTTTTGAATGCTTTTTTGTCGTTGCTACCTTGTTACACGCTATGTTTAATACTCCATTACATTGTGCAGCACCGTCAACAAACGGCGTCAAGCAGTGGCCTACATATGATCGCATCTACGTTGGTGGTGGGATTCGCAGTCGTGCACAGCTGCAAGCACTACTTCGGTTCTTGAAGATAGGCGGCATAATGGTTGCTCCTGTACAGGATGAAGTAAGTTGGCATCATAGCCTCTATGGAACTGACGGGTTGTCCATTTACAGCCGACTGGCTCCGTAGTCATATGGAGTCACCTCCCTATTTCCTTTTCTTGTTTTGGATAAGTTACCCACAAAATTGTCAGAATTAGAAGGCCTGGGCAGCCTGGCGGTATCCCGGCCCTCGCGCTTTCATCCGGTGGCATGACAATTACGCACCGGAAGGCTGCTACAGCTGAACGACTTTTTGTGTCGACCGCCAGAAACTGCGGCTTTTCGTGACGGTCCAGTGTGTCTGTTATAAATCTCCATTTCTTTAAGGGTGTTGTATGCCATCTACCGCGTTCTCCGTGGGTTATACGGCAAGCTGTCTTTTGTGTTTTCTACACTCAGTGGTTATAAGAAAAGCTATCTCGTTTGTTATGTTATCAGCTTTGTTATGTAGGTGCTACTTTATTATTCTCTTCCTGCCTCTCAAACGGGTGGCGGAGTGTTCCCGGGGTTATCACTTGCTGATATTGAGTACGCAGATCACATTGGTATCCTTGGTACAGTTCCTTCAGAGATGCTTTTCATTTTGACTAATCCGAATCGTTTTGTTTCGCGGTTTGTTGTACGCTTCACACCTGCGATTTGCGAATTTCTTATACAAGACTGGGTGGGATCAATCATAACCTCGTGCTTTCAGGTCAGCCAACCGACCTGCTGATCAGATTTGTCATAGAAGGTCTAGTGAACTGGTTATGGGTGAAATTATTTCTCGAATTGGGACGGTTGTATCGTTGTTTTACCGATCTGCTGTGGCGCAGGCATAGCGTTAGTTTATCTGTCAATGGCATATTCTACGCCACGGCTCCATACTTGTTTATGGACTAGAAACGTTGCCCTCACGCGCAGAGAATGTACGACAACCCTCACATTGAAACCAACCTGCCCTTTGCATTTGGTTACTAACTGGTTATTTGACCTGAGCTGAAAGTGTCTCCCAACAGAATGAAGGAACGGATTTTTAGGCGAACTCAGTTTAATCGGCAGCTTAACTAGAAATGTGTAACAGCAGCCTTATGTTTAAGCATATTTTCAGTTTTGTTGCCTGCGGTTTATGCAACGGTATGGGGGTGGAGGCTTTTTTCAGGGGAAGTCACCGAGTTAAAGTAGGTGAATGCAGATTCAAAATTAGGGAAGTTATTGGCTTCGACGTCCTATTGTTAACTTTTTGGAAGTTCCGTGGTGTAAAGTAAGGTAAATTGCAGACCCGAGCAGATACAGCTTAGCCAAATTCAAAGGCATCCTCATTGAGTACACGTGCGGCATGCGTTACTAAGTATCTGGAGCTCAGACCACATCTGAATAGTATCTTGCGGTTAGCCATTGTTCGTCCCGTATTTGTCGATCTTTTTACACCACAATCCATTGAGGATTGTCATTCAAAAGCACATAGTGAGAGATCAAGGAAACTGAATCGACTGAGTGGACCGGTGAGGAACAAGTCCGCATGGCGCTCTGCAGCTAACCACCATTTCGGGACACGCGGCAACGGTGACGGAAGGTTATATCCGGCAGCATCGCAAGGACCGACACCCTCAGAATGTGAGAATGGGTACCTTAGTATGCACCAAAATATCTGGTGTTGGGTAAGCATTCATCAAACCGGCATCCTTTCTCACGAAAGTTGATTTTACAATAACCGTCAGGTAAAAGAGAACACTTGCAGAGTAAACACTCATAATGATTTAAATCTTGCGCCTTTTCCCTAATTCTACCCCGTAGGCTTCATGTTTAGCAAAGACTTCACAATATTTCGCGATTATAAGAGTTGAAAAGCCGCACATAGAAACCGAGGTATTGTGTGCAGCTTTTCTTGCGTCTGTCGTGCAGGCCCATTATGCGTTGACCAACGCACAATTCTTCTGGGATATTGGCCTCAGTACTTTTGGCATCTGACCGTTTAAGTAAGACTCGGGCTACTAGCCCGCTGCACAGCTCATCAGATTAAGGCCTCGATACTCGTCAGATGAAGTCTTACTTCCATTTCCTTTATGAACTGCCAGTCCAGAGCATTTTTGAATCCCTTTGGAACTCCCTACTGATCGATGTGGGTCAGTTCGCGAATCTCATCCTTCAAGGTTCTGTTGCAAATTATCCTCTCTAGTTGCTTTTCTCTTCCGCAATGGCCTGTTTACGGATCATACCTCTTCAGTAGTCGGATGAGGATTCAGCGGTTGTATCACTTTAGTGCAGTCCATCCTCCGTAACTCAGCTGATGCTTATAAGTCTGTTCAGGAACTTTTTGAAAGGTATGTGCCAAATACCACTTGAGCTGACATGTTGGAGCACTTGGGTTAGTTTGACGCATACATCGTAAATGGCTTTGGAAGATCGCAAAATCCTCTGCGCTGCCATCGGCCAGCATTGTGTTCAATCTGTTCGCTTCCTTTTCTCTGCCTTTCGATCTTGATGCGATTCTGTCGCTGAACCAGGCAATCTGTTCTAGTCCTTTGCTTCGCTGTTCGGATAGACAACACTAATGGCAAAGGCTTTATCTACTGAACGACAGATAGTACATACATCAACCCCGTTTCGTCGAATATTTTTACCTCAAAGTCCATACGTTCAGTGATAAGCTCAGTAGAGTGTGGTTTGCGAAGCCGGATGTTAAGCCCCGTTTGGATGAACTGATAGCCTGGTCCATAGTCGGTCGCTCGCATCACCCGTGTGATGCGCGCCACTTGCTGGTTAGTTATAACGTAATCGAGCAAATGTGACGGTTCTTTGCATAGGTTTGTCCATGTCATGGTGTCATACGAAACTACGGGACTCAACCATTCCATAAGGATGAAATCTGTATAGTATGCTTTCTCGGAAAATTTCTGCCCAACAGTATATCGTGGATGGCGACCTTCTCCTCAAGGAGTCTGGACAACCGACTAAATGGTTGTAAATAAGATGTCTGAGCAAGCGATTTCGCACAGGACATCCGTAATGAGATTCAGAAAGATATTGCATTATCCGCGTTCAAACTAAGGGGCTTTTGAGAAAAATCAGGATTTCCTCCTCGAGTAACGCCCCAGTTTATTACTCTCCGCGGAAGTATTTAACTGTACGACTCAAACACAAGAAAACACGACAGATTCCCCCCCAAATACCCTGTCCGGTTCAATGTATTCAGTTGTCGTATTAGACTAGCTATCTACGTTTCAAGAAAGGAGGTTCATTGGGTCTCTCAATGATAGCGGGTATCCCTCCCTAAATCAGCCACCGGAAAGCCTCCCAGCTTGGTGTTTCAAGATCATTGTCTTATCAACATAGGGGCCAACGTGAAGACTCTGTTACACGTGTAAAGCCAACGATTTTTGTTTTTCGTTCAACAAATATATGATCTTTCATCACGAAGAACAACTTAAAGTGTTTCCTTCCATCGCAATAGTTTAGCAGATCGTGCAGACTGTCAAGGGAAACTTCAAATTTAACAGAACGTGCGTGTGTGAATCCCAGCTTATTTGACAGCAGTCCATGACTAAAAAGGTCACCCATCTCTCTGCCAGAGGTTCATTTTCTTGAGGAGTTGGTGGCACTTTTCCTTCAGTATGTTTAACCTCACTTTTAAACCGACTTTGACCCACAAGCAGCGGGCGACGAATAAGTCTCCCTCCACAACGTTCCCAAACACTTGTGACCGATGGGCTAAGCACTTCCATGGGTTTCGATTAGCGCACAGACGGAAAACAAATTCATAAACCAGACAGACTCTGTGGACACTTATTTGTGACTTAAGCCAGTTGAATCTGTATTTCTGACTCCAGCTACTTTATTTAACGACATTTATCGAAGGTCTGTCAGTACTCTTTCAGCACTGCTAGAGTGGATTCACATACCTTGTTCTCTCTGTTTTATGGATTCATGATGCTATTGCCCATTCGCGTGTCACACTCGTATGACACTGATTCATTGACGTCTCTGAAGGTACTCGCTGTGTGGTGTGTCGTACTAGTACCTTTGGTCACATGTGATCCCAGAGTTATTCTTCTCAACTCAATTATAGGTGGCTGGTCCCGTAACTGATCGGTAATCAACGGATGAGGAAACGATTACTTATGTCGTTGCTAAGGCAAATGTAGGGCTGGTTGATGTTATGAAAAAATTCCAAAATTTCACTGGAGATCTTATCCTGCAAGTTGGACCAATCTATGCTGAAAATCCGAGAAGCCATGTACAGCTGTTTCACCCTTGTGAAGAATAATCAGTTCGCATCTCACGAGTCTCCGGATTCGAGTCCACAGCCTCCGAGTTAGTATTTGAGAACTATACCGTTCGGTCGCGAGTGGCCATTTGGTAGTGATGACCTCGCCCCTAGGGAGGATATGGTACCACTTATCATTCAGTCACGTTCTCCATATAACTACAACCAGTCTGCTCAGAAAAGAATAATCTTACAAATTGCGCTCATTTGCAAACTCACTCATTTGCACTCACTCTTGCAAGTCACATGAGCCGTTCGTCAGAGAATTCGTCACTAGAGGAGTCACATGATGTGAATTGCGTGATTGAGAGATGAGTGACGTTGCATCCTGCCTCATCATCACAAAGGTGATCCGTCACTCGCGATCGAACGGTATATACTTTAACTATTAACTGGGATACCACTATGCAGTGCTTCTCGATTGAGCTGTATAACTGTTATTATCAACGTTTTACTGTAGGATCTCCTTGAGAGTGAGAGTTGCTGGAACGACCATGGCACCTGCTGGGTGCATAAGCTATTGTTGACTTGACTGTCTTAACGACAGAATGGTTATACCAGTTGTTGTGGACGACAGGGAGGTGACCATACACATGGGTGTCAAATAACATTTGTATGTGTTAGTTTACCACTGTCGTCTTAGATCAGCAAATCAACTGAACACTTTCGGTGTGCATCTTAGATTTTAATAGATTCAGAGTATGCAGTTTTGGAAGGATTTGAAATCATGTTCCTGAAACTGTACAGGAACGAATGTAAGCAGTTAGCTAGTCTAATATGCTTTTTTGAAAACCGTATATACGGACTCGAACTGTTTGAAGCCCGCGGGAGTAATGAACCGTTAGATCCTGTTGTTTATTGTTTTCATTATGCTGTTACAAAAACTGTCGTAGCAAAACGGATATTCGTGGACTTTCTAATAAGCGTCGAGGAAGCTTAAACATCTTAGGTGCACCGGAAGGCAATTCACAATGGATTGTACGTGGATTTTGGATAACTCGCGAATTTCAATCTATCATCAGTGGCACTTTTTGATACACCATCGTAATGGTAAATCGGTACTTAAGACATGGAAATCGATATCTAACGATGTGTGATATGGTAGAATGCGGTTGAAACGGGTACATTGGTGGGATATTTTCCGATAGATCGATTTACTATCTCAAATTCTGTCTCACTTTTCACTGTTTGCGCATCCACAGCTCCTCAAAATTACCCGGATCTCAGAGGACCGAATCAGTCGTATTGACCTCCTATCCGTTAGTTTTGCCTCACTCGTTGTTCCCCCGGCAAACAGTGAAGCTCATCCTATTGAACCTCGTAAGTTATCTGTGTTGCCTTTCCAACCCTCAGGCTTTGATTTGTTTTTCTTAGTTAATATCCAACCATCTCTCTCTGATTGGCCGAAATCTATCATGACGGATGCGCGTGGTTTCGCTATTTTCATAAAAAGCGTTGCACGTCCATGAACAATTAGCTTTCCTTTTTCGGTTTGGTTACTGAAAACTGGGCAAAATTCGATCCAAACGCAATAGTCTTTGCGTGTCTCAATCTCAACAACCCATTTCTGGGTTTGGCTAAGTTGACTGACATGCTTTTCTCTCTAGAAGGACAAAACTTAATTGTTACTATCGGTCGGTCTATGGAACTTTAGGACCCTTGGGAAGATACCCCTCAACTTAGATCCCGAACCACTTTTTAGGACATACTTTGCTCAAAATCGCCCTCAGAAAAGTGCGTAGGCTCATCGCTTGTCCGACTCAATCAGGTGCGCATGTTCCCGTGACGAATGCTCAAGTTCCGCAAACGACACTTGGGCAACATGAGCGAGATTGCTTCATCCGGTTTGTTTAGGTTAGCCTATCCGAATACACCATTTGTCAGGTACGGAGATTATAGTAAATTGTGGACCTTCCAGAATAGGACAGCCCAATGTAAAAAATCGGTTTCCATTTTTTATATTAATTTTTAATTTGTTTCCTCTGATAAGAGTCTACTTCTAGTAGATACATTCAGCCGTTTTTTGTCGGAGAAGGATAATTACGAATTAGGTTACGAGAAAAAGCTATTCTTGTTAACCTTGGTTTCATAATGAAGTCTCTCAAAAGGGACGAAAAAACCCATCTTTCCGTGATATTGCTTCGTCCCTGCTTTTGCTTTTTTACAGTGCTTTGTTTTGAAAGCATATTGGGGTTGATTTGACAATGCATCATTCGCTGGATTTATTTTTAGCAACCCAGCAATCATAGTTGAATAAACAAGGTTTCATTCATGTGAAACAATTAAAATTGTGCACTGAATCTTCGTATACGATTAGTTGAATCAAATCGGGGTGAGCCAGTACACGTCTTTTACGAACCTGCCCATAGCGCATTTCGTTTGACCTTTCAAAATAGGAAGTGTTCAGTTAGTCTTTTTTGGTGGTTAATCTCTCCAAACCAAATTTGTGTCTGAAGGGTACGTCACATGGTCTCATATACGTGTAATGTTTCGCACCGTATCATGTCGATGGGCACCGTGAAATTTTTGTGAAGATTTGTAGGTTATTTTTTCACTAATCCCCCTTTCTGATTTTGCGACTCCCTTTCTCTGTGAACCAATAAGCAGTGAGCAGTAATATAGAATTCACAGTATACAATGCGACTTTAATGTTCGACCAAAATATTGTTCTTTTTTGCAGCTCCTCTTGAAGAAGTGCCTTCGCTACTTCGACTTTGTGCTCGTTTTATCCGTCAACTGTTACGAACCCCGATAGAATTGCGCCAGCATGGTCGTCCAACCCTTGGTCGGATGATCGAGGTTGAATCGTACGGGGCAATGAAGAAAAAGAGGAAGAAGAAAAAGGAACGCCTCGTGGGTGACATATCAGCGGAAGATGGAGATTCCCCGTCTACTTCTTACTTGGTTGCTGGCAGTGAGGAATCTGAGTCGGACAACAGTGGACCTACGGATGATGTCCATCCTGCGAATGGAAGCACCATAGTGGACAACAACGACGGCTCGTCTTCTAGGGATGGTCAGCAGACCTCATCCCATTCACACCGGTCCGAATCACCTGATTCACAGAGGGATAGCGGCAGTATGGTTAGATTTCTGTGAGTTGATGTTCCTTATCGAATCTCTCCTTTAAAAAAGTAAAAATAAGTCCTTCAACTGTTTTTGGTGTATAACTAATAGCACATCCAACGCGAACTAGCGTTGGACTTCTGTGAAAGTCCTTCGAAAGAAAATGTGACACCCTCTCGGAGCATAGGTGCCCTGTAGTTCGAAGGAATCACGCGGTCTGAGAAACTGCCAAGTTACCCAAGCCTAGACAGGAATGATGGAAAAGTCAGGGTTTGATTTGAATCGTAGAACTTACGGTCAATAACTTTGCGTCCCGAACTCTGAACTCTCTCAAGCTCAAAACGAGATGTCACCAGTGTACGCAATCCATAGAACTTCTGGCTAGGGGCTTTTGTCTTACTATATTGTCCATTTCCAACCATCGTTGTCAACTCGGAGGAGTCATAGTTATTGGCGTCCACCCTTCAGATTGACAGGGATTACATTTTGAGGAGCATAAAATAATAGAAAACAGTGTGTTATTCGCCAAGAATTGCAGACGGGCGGGTCAACCACATATAGGTAGGACGCACGTTTTTATGGGAATTCGAGCTGACATCTGTACGTTTTGTCTGTTTGACCTTTGCACTTTTGCGTGCTAGTCAACGTGTGTTTCCAAATTATGGCCTATCAAGTATTCGAACCGGTCATTCGAACTCAGTTACAATGCATTTTCTCATCCTGCCACCTAGTTGCGATCCCTTATATAATTTCATATCGCAGCACGACGCCAAGGTGAAGTGTAAAACAAGATGTATATATCTTCTCCATCGAACATGGAAGCTGTATCAAATACTTATTCGATCAATGATACGAGCCGAACTTAGACGCTCAGCTACCGTGCCCAGTCAGTCGGGTATCTAATTTCGTAACTACGTTTGTCATGTGGACCGTTCTCTTTTTTGGGTCTTCGACCCCGAACCTTCTTTCGTAGTCACCGATCCAGCGAAACCTAATAAAAAATAGTAACCGTTCGGATGTGGAACCCCTCCGGCATGTATCATGTATGTGACCTAAAGAAAGCACGAGGGTTGAGGCACTGCCAAATTCCCCAAGACAACAGCCGTCGAGAAGCCGGGGTTGGATTCGAATCATCGACCTTCATGTCACTAGCTTTGAGCCTTGCCGAAACCTTCATCAACGTTGACTAGCCGTCCTTCTTGATGCCTTCAGATACCCGCTACTCGAGAAAATAGGTCCCCTGAGCCCCGAGCATTGCGTGTTCTTTTGTCAGTTTCCCAGTGAGTGATTCATCAGCGTGTAGCTGCATTGACCATGCAGTGGGATATTTGCATTTCATAGAATCATATCATCACCACCAGCTGTAACAGCTGCATACTTGGCGTGCAGTGGTTGTAGCCGCCATAATTCTGTTCACCGATGATTTTGGGAGGTGAGGTAGATAGCAGTGCATTGGAGTCGATAGCTTGATATAATTGACGCGTAAATACAGGGTTGTCAATGGACTTTTCATTGAGGAGATTGGACAGGGTAGCTATGCACTGAAAGCAATCGCCTGGGTGAATGAGCGCTACTGTGGGCGCGACTGGACCATGTTTGACAATATCTATAACCACTGATGTGTCCCGTCTCAGCGTTCTCATCCAGGAGGACGGCAATGACCAGCTGTAGAATCATGTACTGTACCCCCTTGTAACAACTTCTCATCGGGGCTGTAAAAAACCTCTTAACTACTAGGTTCTCCGTCCCGTTGTAATGCGAACACCTCTCTAACACGATCGAATTCGCCTGGTTTTTCCGAGGTCGTACAACAGGTGATCCATCCATGTGGTATTCTAGGGGAAACATACATCAACAGATTGTGAATTTCTAGCAAGCAGCATATCTGTAAACAGCCAGATAGAGGGCGCAGTTAGTTTCATAAGAAGAGATCCAAATGCTGTGTGCGAAAATGTAAACGGTATCAGAAAGCATTCTCCACATAACAGATTTTTTTGTGGTGTATAGTCCAACCACCTCCTCTCTCCGTCCCTTTGTCTATTTGATTTGATAATCACCTCTGGTTGGAAGTCGTCTAACTTTGGTTGAGTTAGGGTAATCATTTACGGATTTCAAATTCTATAAGTCACAATAACTGTTTCATTGTCATGAAACGCCAAATGCAGTTCAGTGTAATCTGAGAAATATGGTTGTGCGACCCTGATCTTAGGTTTAACTAGCTCCCAAGTTGTATTGGAAAACGGTCATCTTGTCAGCAGTAGTCATTGATATGAACCTTTCCGTTCGGTTTCTTTGTGCTGTGGCCAAATGGTCAAAACTGTGGTCGGGTTACACACCCACATGCCACGTGCTTATCGACATTTGAGACAGTACGATGACGGCATTTTTCCAAACCGACTCAGTGCCTTGTCTCTTTGAACCTATTGGCCAGTTGCCGGATTGACGGTGAGCATAACTACCAGCATCCCTTATAAACCAGTGGCTCCTAATCCTTTTCTATCAAGTCTCTTGTTTTATGGTTCGGCGACCCAAAGCCGTCCTCAGTTAGCTATGGAGAAAATAGTTAACAACAATTACTGTGTCAGTTAGATAACTGACACAGACCCAGTTCATTGAAGCATTGTTACAACATGCTCAGCGTATACCCACTCCAATCAAATCCAGTTCCCGTGTTTCATACTAAAGCTGAAACCCCTGCTTGTTGAATCATTGGCCAGTGAAATCCAATTAGGACTTCCTGATCCCACGCTACTCTGTCCATCCCAGCTGACAGCCATTTGGATAAATCAATGCCAGTGGCAGAAGCCCTCAACCCTGAACTCCCTACCAGAACTCAGAATCGCTCGCCAGATAGTGACACTGAAAGGAAGCGGTTCCAATAGTTAGCAATCGGAAGTTCCTTCCCCTTATTGTCGCTCCTCAGTCTAACAATCAGAGGTCCAGACCGACTTGAATGTAATTCCACTAACCAACTGTTCATATCAGGGATTGAACGACTTTGGTGTAGGTTTGTTTACAAAGTATCATTCAATTTGCCAAACTTCGCATTAAATCAAAGAGTCTATGTTGGCTAACTCTCTTTCTTCCGGTTTTTGAAGTACGAGGTTGGTTCACTTCCGTTTGGGAAAGTCTGATTTGAATCCCATACAGTTTTGGTGGTACATGAAGAAATTTTCACACTATGGTGTTCTCCCTTTATTAAGAGTCTGGTAAACCATTTTTTCTCTTGGTGGTATTGCTTACGGAGGGTTCAAGGTAGTATCTGAGCGAACTGACTTGTGGTTACCAGTTCTTTGATGTGCATTTACTTGCAGCCGTCATTAGTCCCATACATTATGTTCATTTGTTAATATCGAACATACCAACTACATCAGGTGAACACAACGGATCGTATTTTTCAAGCATTTTCACGTGTGAATTTCGCTTTACAAATAGAGTCAGTCTGTACTGGAAGCAATGTTGGAAATTACGGTGAAAAACCCACCTCCTGTCATGAAATGGTTTTATATAGATGCTATTCGCTTCGTGCGACCTGATGCCCAGTTACGTCTCGCTCCAGCTTTCAACCGCGGTCGATATCAGTTTAACCTTTCCTGTGTCGGTCCATATTTTGCTATCTGTTTCCTACCGAACGGCGTTTATTCAAAAGGCGCTTGATTTGTGTTCGACACTATTCAGAGTCCGTCAGTCGTTTGTAGGTTCTGTTTGTTCGATACAAATGGTGGAGAGCTATGCTGTAAAGACTAGCTTTGAAGCAAGAGCCCCACTGGCTACGTGGTACACCGAATGGTGCCAGTTGCAGCGGGGTGGTTTGCTTTTGGGAGCAGGCTGACAGAGTTCGGCCTGGAGAAGATGATTCGTCAAGCTAATTGAAGAAATATCTCCATTGAAGGCCATAGTGTTTCGTGAGTGATAAACAGCACCTGCTAAATAGAATCCTAGCGGTCCTGGGATGTTTTCCACCCCGGCTGGAATTTATCGAATGAAATTTGCATCATTGTCATCAATATCATCACTGACACCAATCTTCTTCAGGACCGAACTGTCACACAACTTGGTGGGAGAAAGCCTTATAAGGAGTGGAAAGAAATACGAATGGTAGGGACTTAGCGCGAAGAAACTATATTTCCTTACAGAAGGCGGCCAACAACAAGGTACCTACACCCTTGGACAGCACTCAACTAAACACACCTGAGCATCATGTCGAACTAAAGCGCTATCAACGGGGTTGACCCAGCCTCCATTGCGGGCCCCACCCGACACAAGTCAACGACAGGCGGACTGCAACTAGACCATCCGGCTAGGAAATGACAGCTTGCGCACCATGTCCTGCAAAGTTTCCAATTACCTGCAAGCAGGATCATGTTCGCATCAGCCAGGAAACCCGGAAAATCCCATAGTACTGAGTTTGGGAGCAGCCGCTTTTATACAAAATTGCCGTATCATCGCGCAGTGCTTTCGCCAACAATCGCTGGGAACAGAAAACAACTTTTTTCCTTGGTAGACGGTGGTTGAGAATACGTAATACATACCCTGACCATCTCAGGCGGGAAAGTTGCAGGGAGTATCGTTTGATTTCAGGCTTCAAAGTTATACCCGGTCACCTCAGCCTCACTCATTTGCTGACCACAATTGCGTGCGAGGTAACTGATTGAATTGTTTATCTTCGCATTATGATTGACTGCGTCCGTTTTCTTCTTTTGATCAAACTTTAAAATAGAAGCTAACTAGGTTTCTCATGAGATCTCCTAGGTTCCTACATGTGGATAGCCAGAAAGTTCGACAGTTGTTCGGTTCCCTAAGGTTTCCGATTCGTAGAATGAACGAGACAAACCACCTTGAGCATTGCTTCTATGAGAAACTCTCACGTTAACTCTGGTGATAGACACGCAGGAACTAGGTCTCCATGTTCGACTGCTCAAGCTATGAGAGTTGGCTAGCTCCATGCTACTCACTCTAAAGATAAGCTGATTGACTAGGCTGTTTCATGTGTACGACAAAGAGTGCATTCGAAAACCTTAACGGGACG